GTTGGACGATTCGTTTGTTCATTCGCCTGTTGTGTGTGTGGTTCGATGGGGTGTTCTTTCGTCTGTTGTTGTTATCACATCTCGTGCTGTCGGTCGGTTGGTTGGTTGTCGTAAATTGTTTTGGTTTGGTATGCATTTGTGTGGCGGCTCTGTTTCGTGTGTAAAACGTTTTAGTTTAACAGTTCATGCCGATGAGTCAAGGTCGAGAGACCGTAGTAGTATACAACGTCACGTAACGTCAGCGAATTATAATTTTTTGCTGCTGCTACTACTAGTTGTTGTTGGTGTTGGAGATGTTTGCCTTTATGTTTTTGGTATTTTTATGAAAAATAGAAGGAAGACTCATACAGAAAAAATTTCGTTTTCAATTCTCACCGATGGTGGCGGTGATGATGATGATGAGGTTGACGATGATATTCGGGCAAGTGAATGCATACGTGAGTTGCTTGATAGGTTATGTGTGTGTGTGTGTGTGGTTGTGTGTTCGTATGTTTGTTGGGGCTGTGTGTATGGTTTTACTCGCCCATATATGAAGACGACGGAGTAATTTGTGTTATGTTTGCACAGATAACGATACGGCAAACGACGACTACGACGATGATGGACGGACGGACGGACGCCAAAGCAAACCAACAAATAATGAACGATTGAATTAAACGAAAACTTTTGTACATATTTTTAGTTACGGGAATGGAATATTTTTAGAATTTTTACGTTGATTTGTTTTCGTTTTGCTGCTGCTATTTACACAAAGAATTCAAACAACACATAATAAAAACTAGTTGTTGTTTTTTTGTTGATTTTTGTGATAAAGTGAAATACAGACATACCCATACATACACTGGGAGAGATTTTCTTTGTAAAGTGTAATTTCTTTTTAATTGAAATATCGGAGAAATGATGGAAGAAGCAATGGAGACAGTGGAGTGTTTTGAGTTGACAGTGGAAGATTTTACCATCAAATTGATTTCCTCTGAGAGACACTAGAAAAATAGGGGAACCTATTTAATCACTAAAAATCCAAACAATTAAAGACAAATTCAAGCTTTTTTCTATGCATTAGTGGATCTGTGATCTTTTTTAAAATTTTCGCAGTATTTATCTTTGAATAAAAAATGGAGTGGACCCGCGTCTTGCCCTTCTTTGTATAGGTATCCTAAAATTAAGGGCTTCTTGATATTAAAAAATGTAGTCTTAAATTTTTTGTTTAAATTTTCTTAAAGTGAAGAAGAGGTCTCTCCAATAAGAACAGAACTTAACGAGGTCTTCCAACATCATTAACACATTATAGATTAGGGAATTGTTGCTAAAGCTTTTAAAGCATTGTCTGATATTATTATTAATTTCAAACCGAAGATGGAGATTCTATATTTAAAACATAAAAAGGTCAGCATAGGGATTCCCTAAACTTTATTTTCCATTCCCGACAAAACTCGGTAATTTCCAATCGTAAAATATTCCTTACGACAAATTGCATTAATTACTGAGATAATAAATTATAAACCAAAGAAGACTTAAATGACACAACATGGATTTAAAATACGAGAAGTCAGAAAGCTTAAAAAAAAGTGTTTTAAAAGGACGAGAGCCCCACCGAAATGGCAATTTTACCATAATTCTTTTATATTTTATACGAAAGTTAATTATTTGCTTATTGGGCGCCATTCCCGTAATGGTTTTCCAATACATTTCTGCGTACATCCCTGGGCTTTATTATATCAAAGAAGACTTAAGAAAGAAGACACAAATCACTAGAATTTTCTAATGACTTCACAATCGATGGTTAATTGAGAACAGTAATTATCAAATGCTTAACAAGTTTGTAATTAAAAACCAGTAAAGAAAGTCTTAAAGTCGGGCGGGGCCGACTTTATGATACCCAACACCACTTTGCTAATTTAGTAGGGCTTCGCATAACAATTTAAAGTTTTTATGAGAGAATATGAGAATACACGCTATAATTATATTTATAATTTAAAGTTCAAAGGACTAAATATGCCGAAGCAATTGTATCTTTTAAATTCGGACTTGTATTGCCATTTGGTGCACAATTAATATGAAATCGAATAAAGATATTATATATGGGAGCTACATCCAAATCGGAACCGATCTCGATAAAATTTGGCAAAGATATTTCTGAGCTGTATTTGATATATTGCCCCAAATATAGTTGTTACGGAGTGCATATTACGGCTGTGGGTAACAAATATAACAAATCGGATGAACATTATATATGGGAGCTATAGCTATATCTGAACCGATTTTCATCAAATTTGACATACTAGCTTCTAGACTCAATTCGGTCGTAAGTGCCAAATTCCATCCCATTTGGACAAATATTAGACGTTTGGTGCACAATAAAAAGTAAACCGGTATTCAAAGTATCCAAATCTGAAACTATCGCGATATGTATCGCAAATGTATTTCTTAGCTGCATTTGATATATTTACCCAAATATTGTTGTTACAGAATGCATATTACGGCTGCGGAGAACAAAAATAACAAATCGGATGAAAAATATATAGGGGAGCTATAGCTATATCTGAACCGATACTTATTTTCAGACCTAATTTGGTTGTATGTGCAAAATTCCATACTATTCGGGCTGATATTACACGTTTGGTGCACAATAAAAGGCAAATCGGACGAAGATATATATGGGAGCTATATCTAAATTTGACCGATTATCTCCGATTTCAACAGGGTTCGTCGTTGGGCCAAACATATGATTTGTGCAAAATTTTCATCTGGATTGGGCAATAAATGCGAACTGCACTTTGTTTACAAAAATACATGGACAGACGGACATGCATAAATCGACTCAGAATGTTATTCTATGCAGATCATCAAAAGTGGGTGAGGCCGTTGTATGCGGCCATACAAAAACGGGAACCTGCATACACAATTTTATACTTCAAGGATCTACCGCATCTTCTTAAATACCAAATTTGAAACAATTTCGTGGGTAAATGTGACTGGGACTATCAAAATGCCGAATTTCGGTGGGTATCGTTATATCTGCGCTATAGGAAAACGTGGACCTAATATTCAATGTTCTGCCGCCGGAACTAGAACCCCTTAAGAACTACAAATACCAAATTTTAGACCAATCCGTGGAAAAATATAGCCAAAATCATCAAAATACTAAACATCAGGAAGTGCCATTATGTTGGGCCTATACACACTATGTATCGCCATAGAATCGAGAACCCATTTCGGACTACAAATACCAATTTTTGGACAAATCTATGGAAAAATATGGCAAATATCATCAAAATACCGAATATTTGGATGTACCGTTATATGGGGGCTATACAAAAACGTGGACTTATACAATGTTGCGCTACCAGAGGTAGAACCCACTATGACCTACAAATACCAATTTTTAGGCAAATCCGTGGAAATTGTGGCAAAAATCATGAAAATACCTAATAGGTACTGTTATATAGTGGCTATACCAAAACGAGGACTGATATACCTCATTTTCAATTAAAACCATCCTAGACACAATACAAATTGTTCTGCAAATAATGTGGACTGTATCGTGATTTCAACAGACAATAATCCAACTTTCTAAAAACAAAAGGCTAGTTCTTAGGAACCCCATTATTTTGTCACTATTTCATAATTTTCGTATTTTTTTTTAGTTTTCTTCAGAAATATTCATCTTTACATCACATTCCAAAAAATGACAATCGTCTTCTCAAACACGTATTTTGGCCCCTCAAACTACAACTTCTCATTTGTTCCGTTTAGAACAAAAATAAAAGAAGAAAGAAAAATGCCTTTCTAACAAAAAAAAAAAAACATTTACATTTCCCTTCACAATAATAAAACGAAATTTAAAGATGGAACCCAAACCATTTCTCCACAACCTTACGTCTTACATGGCAACAAAAGTTGAAATGTGGATATTACACCACGACCAATAACAACAACAAACTAGTGATATAGGTGGGTAACCACTTGAATAAAGAAATTTCTATTTAAAAAATGCAAAACTATATATTCAGTAAAGTAGTCAGCTATTCGCAGTGTTGCCAATTTAATCATGTTAAAGTAAAGGTTTTTTCGGTTTGCATGTGTTGGTACAATAAAGTAAAAACAACAACGAAAGCAAATCTGATGAGTCGTAGTCCGTCTATCGGCAGTTAGTTGGTTGGATGGTTGGGTTACACGATTATTTTTTTCTTTTTTTTTTGGTTTTCCATTTGATTGTATGTAGGTAGAGGTATATGCATACAAAGTTATCTATCTATATACAAAAGTATATAACTACAATAAGTTTATATTTTTTTCTCTGTTTTCTTATTGCCTTTGAGAAATTGTTTCGTATCTCTGTTTGCTTGTTTTATCTATCTTTTTGCGTTTGCTCTAATTTTTTTCCTTGTTAAATTCACATTATCATAATGAAACGACACAACAACAACGACAACAAGAAATACTAATATTGTTTTTCTTTGTTTTTATTTTGTGTGTGCCTCTCTTTCTACCTTTCTAATGCATTCTCATCGTGGAATAATTTCGTTGTTTCTCGTGTTTTCTTTACTTCTCCAGGGAGAGAAAGGGAGTAGATGTGTATTTGTTTTCTTGTCATTTTCATGAATAAAAGAAAAGGGAAATATATATAATGTCATAATAATAATGTTGTTGGTGTAAAAATGCAATATTCTTTTCCTTTCTTTTGGTCTGCAATGTGGAACCCTACAACGACCAAAAAAAAAGGGAGTAGAGAAACGCACGTGCTACCAATTTATACAACACTGGAGAGTAAAAAAGGAAACAATATTTATTGGTCTCAGTGGTTCTCTGGCATTCTCTAGGGGTCTCAGAGACACGACCAGTGAGCTTGAGAGTATGAAGAGAGTTGAGAAAAAAAAAATGACGATTGTTTACAAATTTTGTTGTTATTGCATTTGTAGTGTTGCAATTTTATTGTCAAATAACATTTTGCAGTTTTTTGCCTTTTCTTCTTTCTTTCTTTCTTTTTGGGTACTTACTCTTTGCTGAACATAAAGATTTTGTTGTTGCTGGTGATGCTGATGCTGCTGCTGCTGATGATGATTATGGTGTTGCTTTCTATTCCGTTTGGTGGTTGTGGTGGCAGCAGCACTAGTAATGCCACTGTTTGTTGCAGTTGTTGTTAGGGGATTAATATAATTGACATTTGCCGTTGTTGTTGCTGTTATTAAACCGGCAGCAGCTGCTGCAGCTGTGAAATCTGTTGTTGATCTCTTGCGAGTTCGTTTACTTGTTGTAGTTCTTGTATTGTTATTTGTTGTTAAACTTTTACTAGATACTGTGCTCGAGTTGGCTCCGGCTGTTGTTGTTGTTGCTTGTATAACAACCATAGGATTTGTTGTTTGGTATTTGGTAAAATTTCGATGTGCTGAACTTTCTGTTATTGTTGAAGTCTCAATTAGCGACATTGGCAAAGTGAGAGACATCGGTGTTTTTTTCGTTCTTTTGTTGGAGAGAAACACAACAAACACGCACACACACCACACGGAGCACAGACGAGAAGAGCGTTAACAGTTTTCTCTCTCTCTCTCTCACTCACAAAAAAACTAACACTTTATTCTGGCACACTCGCGTACGCTCTCTGGCTCTTCTGTTAGACCGAGAGACAACAAGCAGAGCACTGTTATGTTTGGTTTTTCTTCGGGGTTACACTTTTGTTTTGTTTTGCCTTTTTATTTGAAATGCATTTTTCTCCGAGTGTTTTGTTGTTGCTTTTGCTGTAAACACCACTACGTTGCTTGTTGGGTTCTGTTTATTTGATGATGCTGTTAAGTGTATGAGTATTTTCAAAGAGTGCTGATGCCGTTGTTGTTGTTATTGTTATTTTTTTCTTTTTGTTGTGGGGAGAGAACGGCGAGCGCACATACACACGAGCACACCACGATGATGTTGGATTAAAAACAGCTGTTTTTCGACGACCGGCTTTATTGACAGCTGCTAATAATGCTCGGCTATGGCTACGGCTACGGCTGCTGTTGACACCACCACTGCTGTTATGTTGCCTTCTGGTCGTTTTTAAAGCTGTTGTTGTCGTTGTTTTCGTTTTTGTTCTTGTTTTTTGTTGATACATACAAACGACCGCAACGACGACGTTCATTTGGTTTGCTTTTGCTGCTCTATGTACAAAATTATATACATATGTAGGTATGTATTTTTTTATATATATATGAAAAAAAAAACACAACTTTTTTTTATATACTTATGATGATGTACCTATGTACATGTGTGTGTATTGTATTCCCCATATACTGCACTATGTTAATTTGTTTATTTCTTATTATTTTTTTTCTGCTTCTTTCGCGTTTCTTTTCACATTTGTATGTACTACAACTGGGTATGTTGTTTGTATGTACTACTATACTCGGCACTAAAATTAAATTGATTTTCTTTTATTATTAGATGGCGATACTTATGATGATGATGATAAGCAGAGAGGGAGACAATGATTGGTTGTTTGGTTGGTGCGGAGGAATAAAAATACTATATGACTGACACAATAACAACAAAAATAAATTAAATTTCAATAAATCCAAGTGTGGTTGACAACGGGTGACAATAACAATAATTTGTTATTGCAGCAGCTAGTTGTCGTTGTTATTCTTGTTGTGATGACAACAACCACGTTCGATGATGATGATGACGAAGTTTTTTGATTTGAATTTCTAAGGCTTTTGTCTGGCATTTGCATTATTATTTGCATAGAAAAAATTTGATGGTGGAATGATGGATATCAAAAATATTCGGATTTTTTTTTATATTTAAAGTGCAATTCACTATTCACTTTAATTGCATATTTTTTTCCTTTGTTTATCTATTTATTTTTTGAATAACATTTTTAAAATTGTTTCACAAAAAATTTTTTTCTTTTCAAATTACTTCTTCTTCACCGTTGAATAGCTAGGTATTTGCTTTTATTTGAACAATTTTGATTTGCTTTGTATTATTCTCTTCGGTTTTTTTTCTTCTCATAGAGATAGACGGTGCGCGACGTTCGGTGTGTTTCTTTGTATTGTGTTGTAGTAGTAATAATATAGTATCACACAACACACAATAATTGGGAGCACACAAAAACCAGCAAGAAGAAGCAGAAGCAGAAGAAGAAATACAACACTCGAAAATTAAAAACACGTCACGTTTGTAAGTCGGAACATTTAGCACTGTTGTTGTGTGGTTGTAGTTGCTGTTAAGTCAGTGCCTTAGACACCGTAACCAACAGCAGCAGCTAGCTAGCTGCTAGCCAGCCATCAACAAAGCAATCAAACAAACGAACATACACACACACACACACATGAGGAGGAGCAGCGAACCAACCAACAAACATACACACAACATTCGTTGTTGTTGTTGTTGTTGTTGTTGCTGTGGTCGCAACAGTATTCCCTCGTCTGTTGGTCGTCATCGTCGAACACCAACAGCAGCAGCAACAACAAAAGGAATATCACCAAACATCAGTTGTGGAATAACACACTCACTGTAACTGTGAGTGCGAGTGTGTGTGTGTGGAAAAAGGAGAGCTCGTTGGCTGTTATTATTATTGCTTTGTAGTTTTATATTTTTTTTTGCTCTTTAAGGTAATAAAGTCCGCATACAAAACCCCCAAAAAGCCCGACGACTACAAATGGCAAATAACAGAAGCAAACCAAATATAATACACTTTAATAATTGATGTTGGATGGTGGTTGTCGTTTGGTTGGTTTGTTGCTTGTCGATTCGTTTTTGTTGGCTGGCTGGCTGGCTAGCTTGACTAAGTGACTGACAGACTGATTTCGCTGAGCCTTCTCAATCTATAATCCTCTCCTTTGCTATGTTTATCTTCGGTAGTGTGTCGTGTCTGTATGTAGGCAATGTCGCATGGCAAAGTAGATACGAGGTGTGATCAAACAAGTTAAATAGTTCTGCTAAAAACCAACTTTCAATAACCTCCACCAATATCCTTCTCGTGCAAAATATCATTTCTATGCCTTTAGGCTTAAATTGCAGCATGTGTATCAACAAACACTATTATTAAGGAGTGTAAATTGCCGATGTGAGGGATATTGGAGCTTCATCCAAATCTGAAGCAATCTTTAAGAAGTTTAGCAGATGTATTTCAGGGATGTATCTGATATTTGGTTTCAAATATCACTGTTGTGTAGTGCATTAAACAGTTGCGAGGTACTTTAATGCCAAATCGGTTGAAACATGTATATGAGAGTTATAGCTATATTTGACCCGAGTGTCACAAAATTGTCCATACTTGCTTCTTGGATCAATTTGGTCGCATTTGCGCACTTTCATCCTATTTGGGTAGTTATTACAAATTTGGTGCACAAAAAAACACAAATCGGACGAAGATATACATGGCAGCTATATCTAAATTTTGACCGATTATTATGTATTTCATTAGGTTTCATTTTCAATAGGTTCATTTCGATCGGACACTAAATGCGACCTGTTTACAAAAACACATGGATGGACATGTGGACATGCAAAAATCGTCTCAGAGTGAGAAACTATGGAGATCATCAAAAGGAATTATGGCTCTATCTCGCTTCCTTCTCCTTGTTCAAAAAAAAAAAAAATGCACAACGACATGATATCCTGTGACAAGGTGGGGTATGGCAAAAAATGCCACTAAAATTATTAAAATTACGAATATCGTATGATACAGTCAAATGAGCCATGGACCTGTATACGAAGCCATGGACCTGTATAAGCTATCTGCCAGAGATGGAGGACATTCAAAGACGTGGATCTGTTTCATTTCAATTTCAGTCTCATGAAATGGGGTACCCATTACGAATTCCAAATGTCATATACGACAAATTTTAAATTTAGCTGCAAGAGATGGCGGGGCAAACTGAGAACTCCAAAAAACCCATTTTGTAATAATTCTGTTGAAAATGTAGATAAAATCGGCAAAATATCGAAAATTCTAAGGTACCATTCCACGAAGGTGTCACCCTGTTTTTGTAATTTGCAGTCATTGGAAGTCGTACTCCATTACGAACTCGAAATATCAAATTTAATACAATTCTATCAAATCATACGACATAAATCATCAAAATACCGAAAATCGTTAAGAATAATTATATGGGTGCTATACGAAAATTCGGATCCATATAGATAATGTTCCATCAGAGAAGATAATTCCTATTGCTAACACCAAATACCAGCTTTGTAATAATTGCGGTAAACAATTTCTCTAAAGACATTGAAATGTCGAATAATAAGATGTGCTGGTATATGGAGGCTATACGAAGACGTAGACCTGTACAACCAATAATCTATCATAAGCGGTGGTATCCATTACGAACTCCAAATGCCAAATTTGAAACCATTCCTGTGAACAGTGTAACAAAAATAATCAAAAACCCGGATATCTCCAGGTACAGTTATATGGGGTCCATACCAAAACTTGGACCTATATGGACAGTTTTCAGTCGGCAGGTGCCTACATACAAGGGAACACAAACTGCAAATTAAGGGAACAAATTCGGTTTAAAATTGTGACTACAACAACCAACACACCTGACACATGACGGTACGGTTATATGAGGCCGATAACTAAACTTAGGCCATATTCAATAGCAAAAATTCTACGAAGGCTGAATTTTTACCCATTATCTTTTTGGCAACTAAAAATAGTTGCTCTGTTAGGAAAGTTGATCGTGTGCTTCTTCCACTTTATGATCTGCCCATTTCACAGAGATTCATATGCTTATTTAAGATGATTTTGCCTTCTTCATTTTACCATGGAAATAATTTTCAAACATTAAATTATATCTTTAATTCTAATAAATTCTAATAAAGATTTGATGCAGTTTTCAGAATTTTATGTGTTCTTTCCCTTTCTGAAAAACTTTTCTATAGCTCTTCAAAAATCACCCTTTGCACTGGAGTAAAATTTTATCAAAGCGAACACATGTAACCACACGAAATTCAATCATACCTCGTATGTTAAGTGTATGAACCTAGGTTTGTTGTCGAATGTCGTGGTCGTAAGCGTAAGTTCATACATTCCATATTCCAACATGCAACATAAAAACATAGCGACAGAATGTCAGTTAAATTTATGTTAAGTATATATGTATGTTGATGTAGGTGTGTGTATGTTTGTCGCGATGTCTGTCGAGTTCATGTGTCTGTCTGTCAGTCAATCGGTCGTTTAGTTCTTGTTTGATTACACACAGCAAATAATTGTGGATTCGTTTTTAATTTTGTTATTTTCGATCTTCTTCCTTCCTTCTTCACCTCCGTTTGTTGTGTAGAGCCTTAGTTTTTTTTGCGAGGACATGTGTTACCTAGTAAATGATAGGCCTAACAGTGCTGGACAAAAGTTGACACAGTAAAAATGATTAAGGGCAATTAAAAAATATCGATAGTGAGTTTTTGGGGTCGCATTTAAAGTAAATCACGATACATGAAATTTGGATTAATTTTAAAGCAAAATATAAAAAAGTATAAGTAAAAATTTAAAAAATGTAAATGTTATGTAATTTGCTCTAAATCTATTGCACCTAGATGTATCTTATATTCTGGGATTAATAGTGAAATGTTGTGTAGAATATTGCTTCTTTTGGTAGTTTCTGTCTAAAATGTAATCTAGTGTTACTTAATAGTTAAACAAAATTAGGAAATATTTTGGCGTCTTTTTCGAAACATTGATGTCAATATTTTCTCAATACGTAATGGAAATAGTGTTTTCTTTTCTTTGGTGACTTATAGTGAAATTTGATGAAGAGTATTTTTGTCCTTGACGTCATCCTTCTAAAATGATGCTTTGTAAGAAAATTCGGTATAAACTCAGATCAAGTACATCTTTTACCCTAAAATGTGTTTTTAATATTTATGAGTTTCTGGCGTTTAGGTAAGATTTAGATTTTTCATATCTTCAAGGAGCTATATTAGGATTTTATGACAAATAATTTTGTAGAATATTTTGGCCCGCTCCGATGCCGTTTAAAGGGGTTTTTTAATCATATTCTGCAAAAAGGGCCATTTGGTGACTCGCTTGAGGGTTAAATTTTTTTTACCAAAATATTCCTCCTATTGTTATAGGTATTATTGCCGAAGACATTATATATCTAAAATGCAAAGATTCTAAGGAATCTCAATCCGAACATTTCAAAATATGTAGAAGGATATCCTCCCCCCCCCCTTATTTAGGTTACTTTGCGTAGTGAACTTTCAAAACGTCGATATATTTCTCATTTTTATAACCTCCACCATTCTATGGTGGTCATTCCGATTGTAACACTTCGAAATATACATTTTAAACCCCACAAAGTATAAATAGTCTTGATCAGCATAAAATTCTATGTCGATTCAGCGATGTCCGTCCGTCTATCCGTCTGTGGAAATCACTCTAGCTTCCGAACGAAATGAAGTAGATAAAATGTTATTCAAATGTATTTTATGTCTGCACGACTTTTGGTATTGAAATTGGGCCATATAGGTCCACGTTTTGGTATAGCCCCCATACAACGGTACCTCCCGATATTCGGCATTTTGATGATTTTAGCGACAATATTCACCGGAATTGTTTCAAATTTGGTATTTGAAGTTCGAAATAGATACTACAGCTTATGACAGAAAATTGTCCGAACAGGTCCACGTCTTCGTATAGCCCCCAAACAACGGTACCTTCCGATATTCGGTTCTTTGACGATTTAAGTGACATTATTCACCGGAATTGCTCCAAATTTGGTATTTGAAGTTCGTAATGGATGCTACAGCCCATGACAGAAAATTGTCCGAACAGATCCACGTCTTCGTATAGCCCCTATATTACAGTACCTCCCGATATTCTGTATTTTCATGATTTTAGCGACATTATTTATCGAAATTATTTCAAATTTCGTATTTGAAATTCGTAATGGGTGCTACAGCCATACATTTTCGTATGCAGGTCCACGTCTTCGTGTAGTCCTCATGTAGCGGTTTTCAATTAAGTGGTAGTTTTCGGATTTGTTTTTTTTTTTTAATTAAAGTTTCTTTCAAGTGTTGTGAGATTTTAAAAGTTCGGCCCGGCCGAACTTAGCTGCTTTTTTACTTGTTTGTTCTACTTCCATAATATACTGGGATTTCCCCCTATAAATCCTGAAAAATTCGAATTTTGTCGCACAGTGCTCCACTGAAGAACAACAAATTCAATCGGGTTTTGCAAATTTTGTTTGAGGTCATAGAGGGAACTTCGGTTCTGGAACAGAGCAGGAGTGTTCCAGGTTTTCCAAAGTTTGGATATTTGTTACTAGAGTCTTTCAAAAAGATACCATAA